CTCTCTTCTTACGTACGTTAACGTTAACTTAACTTACGTTTACGTTCGTTACGTAGTCGTACGTACCTACCTAACCTACCTACCTACTTCGTCGTCTCTCTCTCTCTCTCTCTCTCTCTCTCTCTCTCTCTCTCTCTCTCTCTCTCTGAATCAGGAAGTGGGGTCTGGCATTAAACTATGGCGTGGTCTTGTTTATTCATTCTATTATTTTTGTTTCAATTTTTTCTGATTGTTATTTGAGTATATTAATTCTGTGTATTTTCGACCTATCCCTGCATGCATATATTCTGTTATTTTAATGCTACTGCAACAATGTTTTACTTTTTCTCTATGACCACTCTGAGTATTAATCTGTTTATTTTTTGTTTTTACCCCCTTTTCCTTTTTCTACCAAAGTGTCTTTCATTGAGTCTCTTGATTTTTGAGTTGTTATATGTTTGTGAAATTGATTTTTCCACCATATTTAGGAATGGGTTTGAAAAGCTTGTCTATGTGAAATCTTTCCTCTGATATCTTTGACAATAATTTAGCTGTCTTTCAAATCCTTTTATCCTTTTCATTGTATCCACATTGTGGTTTCTTCTTATCAATGATTAGATCTTTCATTTCTGTCTTTAAAGTTCAAATCATTCTTAAAGGACTCATTCAGGTGAGGTGCATTATTGATCTTGTTAAATGTTTTATTTACTGAACATTCTCTTTTATGTGATTAGTATAAGTATATTTTTTTTCATTCTTGTCAAATGGTTTTTGTTACACTTTTTTTGGTACTTTTATAATGTTATTCTCATTTATGTAAGAAAAGAGCCAAGTTGTTTGAGAGCAAGTTGTCATATACTATATCTTTGTTTAGCTGATTTTTGTGTTGGAAGCACCATATTCCACCTTAATTTATTAGAGTATATTGTTGTTTTGAAGTTTTTAGCAGCTCACATAAAGACACTCGTTGTAGGGTTTGGATAATACCGTAATGGAGAGCACCATAAATCAAGGCGTTACATCCACTGAAAATTCTGTGGGCTCTGAAAATGGTGACATGAGTGGGAAAATGATCGTGGGTGTCGAGTCTCTTTCAGAGAATGCTCAAAATGAAACTGAAAGACTTGAGAACGTGGATCCCAATTTGATTATGGAGCATGGAACTGAGGGTGCGCATGAATCTGAAAGTCTTGTAAATATTAACCCAAATGTGGTTGTCAAGCTGTGTCCTGAGGGTGCCAAGGAATCTGAAAAACTTGCAAATGTCAATCCAAATGTGGTTATGGAGCTTGATTCCAGGGCTGCTAACGAATCTCAAAGTCTTGCAACCAATGATCCAAATTTGGTTATGGAGCTCAATGTCGGGTTTGCTAATGGATGCAGAAGCCTTGCAAATGTTGATCCAAATGAAGTTATGGAGATAGATTCTGATAGTGCTGGAAAAGAAATCGTAGTCAATGTGAACCCTATTCCTTTGGGCAGTGTTGACAAACCATATATAGGTATGGTTTTCGACTCCGAGGAAGCTGCGAGGGAATTTTATGATGCATATGCCCGGCACGTGGGGTTTATTAGTCGAGCCAGTAAAACCGCACGTTCTATGCGCGATGGAACATTCATTCGACGAGATCTTGTATGCTCAAAAGAGGGTTTTCGTGCACAAAAGTACCAAGCAAAATTGAGGCCACGACCACAAACAAGGGAGGGATGCAAGGCAATGGTAAGAGTAAAGAAGGAAGGGTCTAAGTGGATTCTTACTAGATTTATTGAGGAGCATAATCATCCCTTGGGGAATGCTAGAAAACTAGATCCTATGAGACCGCTTGATCCTATGAAAGGGAAAATGGTAGCAGATGTTGACTCATCTTATGTAGGGAATTCATTGGATGAACCTGGAAGACTTGAGAATGTTGATGCACCTGCAGTTATGGAGCTCTGTTCTGGGCGTGCTAATGAAGAAATGGCGGTGGATGTTAACCCCCCTGATGAGAATGCTGATGAGCCAAAGGTGGGCATGCTATTTGAATCTGAGGCAGCTGCAAAGGAGTTCTATAATGCATATGCTAGGCAAATGGGGTTTAGCACTCGTTCTAGTAAGACCATACGTTCAATGCGTGATGGGAGGTTTATTCGTCGAGATTTTGTATGCTCCAAAGAGGGTTTTCGTTCATCAAAGAACCCTGCTACTTTGCGGCCACGAGCACAAACAAGGGAAGGCTGCAATGCCATGATAAGGGTGAAGAGGGAAGGTAACAAGTGGCTCCTTACAAAATTTATTAAGGAACATAACCATGCAATGGTACCCCAAGGAAAAGTACATCTTCTAAGATCACATAGGCGCTCATCAGGTATGATGAGAAGCCCAATGCTTACTTTGGATGATCCAAGTGCCACACCTTTCAGTGCAAACCGTATTGAAATTCATCCTAGTTGGGACCCTATTCAGACCACGCGATACAATGAACTGTGCAACCTAGCGGTCAAATGTGCAACAGAAGGGGCAGTAAATGAACTTGTGTACAATTTTGCAATGAAAACTCTACGAAAGGCTCAAGAAGATATTTCTTTTGTGAGGAAAAATATTGGGTCACCCACACAAGCAACTTCCAGATCTAAACCTGTTTCGGAGGATCAAGCGAAGAAGAAAAGACAATGCCTTACATGCAGGGATTTCGGTCATGACCAGCGGAACTGTCCAAATAAAGGAAATGTTGGGTAATACGATATGCTTCTCCTTAGTTTCCACAAAAAATAATAATAATAAAAAAATGATACTATTCTTCTTGAATTTCCTTCTTTTTTCTCTCTTTCTTTCTATTATTTATTGAAAAATATTTATTTATTTCTTTATTATTTCTGGTGTGGGAATGGGAGTGGGTGTACTTTTTGTTGTTGGGGCATTTGAATCTGTATTGTTTTCTTGCTTTCTAGGCCCAATTTTAACCTAGTCGGGTACATGTCCCCAACAAGTGAACAGAGCCATGGTGGGATAGGTGAAGAAAATCCAGAATTCTTCAACAGAACTTCATGAGTTAGGATTTGTTCTTTCTTTCTCTTTTAGGTCTGACTTCATTCATACATCCATGCAGATATGGTTTTGCACATATTTGCAACTTCAAGTATGATACATCTATGCACATATGATATTTCCTTTTTTATTTTTTGGATTTGTTTTTGTCCTGTGACTCTCATTTTCAAACCATTTTGAGTATTTGGTTTACATGTAATGTTGGAATGGTTAGAATAAAACATTGTTGTTTTGATTGGAACAGGGTTGTTCTGACGACAAATGGTAGCCTTGATATGAATCAACCCTTTGCCTACCCTGATACTCAGACTGTTCGCCCTTCCCCGTTTGCTGCAATTTGACGAAAATCCTTTGTTGGGCATGTAAGTTATGATCCCCTCCATTTTGAAGCATTCCTTTTAAGTCTTGGACAATCATATGTATAGGAGAAGCTTGATAGGTCACCAGTTTATCTTAGTTGCATGTCCTGGTTGGCATTAAGTTTATTTATTCCTGATGCATCTCTGTTGTCTTTTGTTAGATAACCTTCCATATGAGTGTGCTAGACGTATGCATCGGGAATTTAATGTAAGCCAGTTGATCATTGAAGAATGAAATGATCAGATAGATATATGCATGGGAACATGTTTGTTGTTTTCTTTTAAATTTTGGGAAGAGATATGGTGATCTCACCAGACTGTTGTCAACACAAGTTCCACCCCGAAACATAGGGGTATTTTTCTCATCTGAAAATTTTCAAATCATTTTTACTCACCCCAAAGATCAATGCTTCTTTCTCCTTTTTTGTTTTTTTAAAAAAAAGTGAAAAAAAAAAGATTGTCTACAAAGAGACTATTTATCTTGTCACAATCATTTTTGTCCCTTTTATTTCAAAATGGGTGGTTGTAAGAGAGTTATTGAATAGACACAAAGTTCCAAAAAAAAATTCTCAGACTTCGCGATTCACCCCAGGCCATCCAATTTAACATCTAATGAGTGAGAATGATTTTGACCTCCATGTACAAAAGATAAATGATTTCTTTGTAGACAATCCCTCTTCTTCTTGTTTTTTTTTTTTTAAACTGTTCACAAGGTGAATCAAAATAGATATCATCAGTACAAGAAAGGCCCCCTCGTGTGTTATGGGCAAGAGTCCATGTGATGACGTCCCATACATTTGCTGGTTTTAACATTGTGAAACCAGTTTTGATATGTTTTCGAGGATGTGGTTTGTTGCTCAAACAAAGTTGCTGGAGGCATTTCACGTGTTAGGTGATCAACACAGGAGATATCAAATCGGCTGTTCTTTAAATTTGGTATAAACCTGTGGTAAGGATCTTGGAAGGATTCAGTGGTCAAGGAGATTGTACTTGATTATTGGAAACAGTTGGTTCTTGTTCCAAACTTTATGAAAATGATATTTTGGTTGTAGACAAAGTATGGGAAGATGCATGATTGGTAGGACCCATATACAATTATACTCTCTCTGTCTCTCTCTCTCTCTCATACACAGCAATGTGTTCTTATAATGGAGTACATGATGTGATCAAAATCATAAGTTTTCTTATTTATGTTTACCTGATGTTTGGAATGCCTGAGTCCTTTCCTTTTTCCCCTACACTTTTGGGTAAATATAACATGACACCATGTGATCATAATACCCATGTGGATCAAATATTGAGGTCCCTTTTCTGTTTTCTTGTGAGATTGTGCATTTTGGATCTTTTGGGTGAGTTGAAATGTTAAAGATTCAGTGCGGTGCAGTTGGTAGCAGTACAGGGTAATGCACAAACTTCTAACTAATGTACTTTGGAGGGGCTTATGCCTGGCCAGGGGTGATTGACCCCACCCCAAAAAGAAAGGCCTTATTTTATATGTGCTTGAAAAGAATAACATCCTATTAAGGGAAAAAAGAAAAAGCTCATTTTATACGTACTTGAAAAGAACAACCTCCTAGAGCAAAGACATCATAAAGTCAAGCAATGACCATCTATTTTTTGGATGGCAAGTGTCCTATTTTTTAAAATATTTTATGATGCCCTTCTTAATGGGAAAAGCTTATAAAAGGATGGTATAGATTTGATACTATTTGAAAGGACGTCACTTTTAAACAATATTTAAAAAAAAACGTGTTATAATTGTCCTTTCTAACTAAAATGGATTAAAATGGACGATTTAAAATATTGCTACATAACTCCTACAAGTAAAGCTACAATTTCATATAAAGGCATACCCTTCTCAATAAATTCTTGGTAATTTTTCTTCAATAATGTTTTTATGGAAGTACTCGACTGGTGATTCTTAACCAGATATCAAAAATCCTCAGAAGTATCTCTTCTGGCCAAAAAGAATAAATCGGCATGCTCTTATAATTTGTGCTAACACTAGTGCGATTGCACATATTGACGTCACCCAAAATATACTCATAAGAAAGGGGTGTGAGCAAAGCAAAAGATATGTAGCATGACACAAAGTAGTATCAAGGTGTGCTCCATTTTACTCTTTATCATCCTGATGCTGAACTAATGGCGGGATGCATTCTCCATCCCTTGTACAGAAGTATAATAAGCCAAGTTTACATAGTATAATAGTGGTAGAAAACATGAAATCATGGTAATTGGTAAACTGCAAATCAATTATATCCATTCAAGTAAAATTCGAAATGAAAGATGAAAGAGATTAAATCAAAATGCAAGGAAATTGGCAACAGATTAATGGATTATACACGAGTACCTTTAAACATGTCTGATTCTATACCAGATTGTAAAATAAACAGCACTAATACCTTCAAATTGTAGCAGTTGACATTGGCAATATTAGATCTTAAGTTCAATTCCTACTGCTGAGCTTACTAAGCAAAAAAAAAAAAACTACCCTATTACTTCAGCTTAATAGCATGAATTCAAGAGTAAACACCAAAAGAAGAAATTCCAACTGGTACATAAGGAACCCAACAACATGAATTAATTTTATTGATTACAGAACACATCAAAGCCTGAAATTTTTCGAAAATCACAGGGGAAGTTACACAAAGGCACGCACTACAATCCCGGAAATGGTGGCGAATACAAAAGCCACTAAGGAATACAACCAAGACGTAACCCCACCCATTTGCTTCTATAAAAAGAGCAAGCCCCTGCACCACATTAAGAAAGCACATGACTGGTAGATAGAGAGAGAGAGAGAGAGAGGTACAAAGGAAAAACAAATAAAATAATTTATTTTCGACAGTCAAACAACATTCCAGTACAAAAAACCAAACAAGTAATCCCACAATGTACAAAAACACCAGGTCGCCCCCCATAAGCACACATTCAGAACCCCTGTTAGGGCTTCGTTCCTAAAAGTCTTATCTGGCTTTTTTAAAAGCCCTCCAAATCCCTAGGAGACTTCAATCTCCCAAAAATCTAGGACCCATTATTCACCAAACTGGGGGTTCCAACTGCTCGAAGCCCCCTCTCTCTCAACAAATAACAAATGAAAACTGCTCACAGAGGGTCCTAGCCTTCGATCTCTCTCGTTACTGTACAAACCTTAAGGTTCTCTCACTCTCTCTCTCAACATCCACCTCAATCTTGCCTCACATAAGGAGAGGAGCTCACATCCGTACTGTAAAATGAATCATCCCCAACTCCATAGTTCACATCCTTCTCATCATCCCATTTCAAAACCTCCCTTATGTATTTGAATGCCTCATCAACTGTTTTTCTCTCTCTGGCCTTCGCTTGCCACACAAAGAGCTTTCGGTTACTAATAGAAGCGTATAAGTCCTTGAACTTCATGGCCACATAGTAGTAGGCCTGGTGGGCTAAAGACTGGCTGCTATTGTGGGGCTTCACCGGAGAGAAGTCCTCGAACCATTCACAAACTGTTAGGGGAACCTTATTGATCTTCTCCTCAAAGGCATCATATTTGTTAAGGATGAGAACAAAGGGAGTGTCTCGAAAAGATGGGTGCCTTACCACATTTTCAAATAGCTCTTTGCTCACCATCATCTTGTTACGAAGAGGGGCAGGGCCATCAGTCCACATGAGGTCGTAATCGCTGAGGGCCACACAGAAAACTAAGGCTCGGATGTCCTCGAACATCTCAAGCCATTTACATCTCTCATTCAGGCCTTTTGCACTAACTCTGATTATCTGGAATCTGGTAGGAGTGGGAAACTGGGTGAACAAACAAATAGAGGAAAGAGAAAATAATAGTTGGGGATATTTTTTGGGACTGGGAAATTGTACAATAACTCAATGGACTTGGAAAACCACAAACCAAACAAAACTATGTCGGTTGATGAACAGCAGTGGACAGAAATTGGAATGCGTCCAAACAAATTATGACAGCCAATTGCAGGTCTCATCCTCTCTCCATTACCATAGCATATCATTTCATCACGTGGTTATGACCCCAAATGCAGTGGAAAAGCAGAGTCTGTTGGACTGTATTACTGTTTATATCTAAAAGAAAAGTATTTTTTGAGTCAGCAGGTGAATCTGCTAACTCACAAACGTCCATATTTAAGATGAACTTCCACAACTAAAGATTCCTATCTAATGGATAGGAAAAAAAATTAAAAAGAAAAAAATTTATTTTATTTTATTTTATTTTTTAAATTCATGATCATCGTAGTGTAGTTCATGGATTTCTACAAATTTGGATCCACGAACTATACAAAAAATGGGTGCTAGAGTGAGCCTGCACGAGAATAGTATGAGTTGGGGGACTCATAAAAACTGGGTCCATATCTAAAACTTATCAAGAAGGAAAAAGAAAGCATGGTGGGGATGATTTTAATGAAGTCCATAGATTGTATGCTCCAGGGGGAGCATTTTCTCATTCACATCCTTGAGTAAAACCCATTCTAGGAGTAATTCTAAGATTGAAACAGAGGACGTCCAATATCTGGTATAGCCCCATGTGTTTCAAAACTCAAAATCCATTTTTTTGAAGTTGGTGTATCATATGGTGATTCTGCAGTGTATCCCAGAATTTCATATTGAAAAAACTCTCCTAAGCAGCACTTTCACCCAAGGGGGAAAATGTAAACGTGGGAGCATAGACACTCTCTCTAATGATTTTATTATAACAAAGCTGTATCTGTAATAACAAAGGGCACTCAATAACCATCAAAAGAATTAGAAAGAAAAAAAAGAAGCAAATGCATAAAGGTATCCTAGATCACCTGGATAAGGGCGGTGGACCCTCAAAGTTCTCATTGTATGGCTCGGACATGGGACTCCGATCATCCAATGAGAATTCAACAAAGGCAAGCCCGTTGCTCTGGTTGACTCCTTCAGCATATAATATGTCTCTTTCTGAAGGTTCATATTCATTACTTGATACCTCTACAGCCTGCAGAAATACATATATCATATTTTGTCAGTACAGATTGATAACACAATCAGTATTATTGTAATGGCCCTTGGGGGGGATAATTTGGACATTGAAAGTACTAAAAAGCGCAGAAGTCCCCTTCAGGTCAACTGAAGGAACAAGTAAATGAAATCATGCAGACACTAATGATATCATCAATCGGATCATGAAATTATCGCTCATATAGAGTCATTTTTGAAGAAGTGGATATGTGGAATTCCTAGTAGTAAAATATTAGTAACTCTGAATTCCACTTACAGGTGCTACTATACATTGCTGTAGGTAACAAAAAAAGCCTAAATACAACCTCAGATCTTTCTTTTTACTGCCAAATAAGTATGGCTCTCTATCTTGAACCGAAAAACAAGCTTAAACTGTGAATTTTAAAACATGACGGGCCAATGAAAAAACACATCTCAAATGCCACACGGGCACCATCAATGGGGAGCCCACCACCTCTAAGAGGCCACAAAGGCACAACCAATGGGAATCCATAGCCTCTTGGCCCTCCTCAACAAACAAGGATCCTTAGCCTCATTTAAGAGGTATTGAAGAGAATACTTGCTGGAGAGAAAAAAAGAGAAAAGACGAGTGCTAAAGAAGGGAGACTTAAAGAGAGGAACTTCAAAGACAACTGGAGGCATGCCCAAGGCAGCCATATGACTCTACCAACCTCAAGAGCAGAACCAATATCCTTGAAGGGATCTTGACCTCAAAATAATGATATGCTTAAAGTGGCACCTCGCAACTCGTCCCCGACCATGAAGAGAACTTGTGATCCTTTGAGGTATTGCAATCTCAATAAGTTGATCAAGCCCACAAGCTCATAAACATAACCAGTTATTCTTATGATTCTTCTCAACTTATGGAGATTATGACCTTTTAGCAAAGAGAGGGCAAAAACCACATTTTCATGTCGCCTCTTTTCTTCTTATTTTTATATTTGGGTTCCAGGATGGTTGACATTTCTAGGAAGCATGCATGAGATGTGTTAAACTTGCACATTAAATTGGTTCTACCCATAAATATAGCTCACAGATAAATGAAATAGAAGGCCTACATGAGCAACATATAACCCATGAAAGGGCCACAGCAGGCAAGAAAATTCATGTATATTACAAATTAGAATAAGGAATCACAGATATATTAATGAAGAAATTCAGTAAATAAATTATTCATGAAAATGAAATAAGGGAATTGCCATGGAAAACTTGAAACACGTAGGTCCAAAAAGAAAAATGCTTCACTAGCATGGCAACAAAAAAGAAAATTCAAAAGCAATCTAGGAACAAGCATTTATCCATGGCATATATCTCTGAAACAGCTTTAAAATAATGACAGTGTTGAAGTATACTCGCTCTAAGAAGTAGTGAGCCACATCAGGGAGAAAGTGCAGTTCATCTCTTCGCTTGTATGTCTCCTGGATGGCAGGGTCCCTCCAAACTTCTTCAACAAGTGGGGCATACTCCCGAGTTGCAGCAGGAAAGAATGCATCCAAATCCCCCATAGCCATAATGTCGAGAAGCCAATCAGAAAAATGCTTCAACCTTGGGTTGATGGAATAGATGCACTGATGACTTTCATTTACCACATGTCCCCCTGATTAAGAAGAAAGCGACAACAATAAGTGCAAGGACAGAACATCAATGGTACAACTAAGAATTTAAAAACATATTCATTAAAGAAAAGAAAAATGACATAAAAAAAAGTGGGAAGCAGCTTAAAAAAAAACAACAATGTAAGTCCAAAGATAAACAAGTCAACGATGTCATTTATGGAATCAATGAGTAGTTTGAACTTTGAAGAGATTCATATACATAGCAAAACAAGATACCAATTCCAGCACTATAAATTAACCTGTGCTGGGAATTTGATGAGGTGAACCAGATATATTTGTTTCATTCAATGCCTCTTCTTCAAATCTCTCTCGCCCTTCAAGCAAGATTCCAAGATATTTATACAGGTTGCTTTGAATCATTAGCTTGATATTCTGCACTTCTTCTTGTAAGAATCGGCACCCATATAAAAATTTTGCCTGTTCAATGCAAGCCAATCCATCAAAACAAGAAAAAGGAAAGAAAACCAATGACAAGGTCGATGTTATAATTGCATTGGGCCAAATAATATTTTATTTTGATAAATATCAGTTGCCAAAAATGGTAGAACAAACAAAAAGACATGCCAAAAGTTCATCTCATATAAAACAAGTGGATTGCAAATGAAAATCATTATGTGCAAAAAGGTTATATAAGCAAAGCTTAGGTCCAACACAGTCTCTGGTGATATGTTATCCTCTTTACATCTAGTGATAGAAGCTATACTGAAATAAGAAACACAAAAGTACCAACAAGCAAATAGTATTAAAAGCAAACATGCATATGAATATATGATCAATCATGACAGTAAGAAAAAGCGTGTTGGAATTACTTCAAACACAAAAAGAAAAAGAATAAGAGTGTTAAAATCAGCAATAATTATATTATCCATTTGTAAGGTTTTATTGTCTATTAGTATAGGAGTAGTTGATCCAAGCATATGGCATCAATAGTTCACACCATGGCATTGTACCTGCTTGACTATAGTGCTAGTTCCGGAACCCTGAAGTCCAAGTAACAGGAGTTTCTGAACAATTCTCTGCTCCAAATACTCTGGGACAGACCTGCTAGAATGATTAGTTGATTCCTCTCTTGACCCATTAGAAACTCCATGTGGTACAGGCAATGATAATAATGAACAAAGGAGCCGGGTTGATGCCTGCCTAGCAAAGACCACATCCAAACTGTTTAAAAAATAAAGGTAAAAACTGTCTCCAAATGTTTAATCATATTGCAGAAGGAGGTAAAAAGTGCAGAGCTTCCAAATGATGACAGGGAAGTATGCAATAGTCCAATGAACCATGGAAAAAGCACAGTTGACTGGGTCCTCACTGTGGAGTGATTACTAGTGAACAATAATTTCGCCATAGTCCATTAGATTATATTTTTCCCATTGATGACATAATGATCTGAGCAGCAAATCTACCTTTCCCCAGATGTTCCCCTTTATGTTATTCTGGCCTTCTTCCTCATATGATCCATCCTCATAAACCCAAAAATGAGTATCCCTAGGGCACTGCACCTTGGCCAGCTGAAATTCAAATTTTTTAATAAATTCATCAATTGTACATATCTAATAGAGCATACATCTAAACGTAAGATATGTCCTTGTTACTGCACGCACAATGTAAAAAGATGTAATCAATCAGATAGAAAAGAAATCAGAAACAGTGAAAAGAAATGCAGAAGTTCAATACATCCCATGAATTGGGTTTGGGCTTGAGCGGTTAGCAGTTGACGTCAAGCAACGCTACATCTCAAGTTTGATTCCTACCAAACTATCCAAAAAACGTTTTATACACCCCCTGGGGAAGCAACATTAGGCTAGAAAATATTGAAGGTGTTCAAGAAACAAATTACATATACTCTTTGTCCTTTCGATTATGGCATTGCAAACATTATATTCTGTATCTTCCTCTAAATTCTTCAATATTCAGCTGGCATGCATTTGATACAGAAAACTTGACTGTTATTACTTTGACTGTTAATTTCAACTTGTACAAAATTAAAATTATCAATGCAGATTTCTACAAGGTGAGAGATGGAATTTTTTATCTGCAATAAATGCCAATTACTCAAAATAGTACACGAAAATGCGTTGATGGATAGACATGTCTTTTATACATAACTAAGACTTCATTGGAAAAAACAAAGATACAACCAAGAGAGACAACATATAAAGAAAGAGAATTGGAAAATGTGCAGAGCATCAAGGAGGTGTAATGGAGATATCACAGTGAAGAAAGACCATGTGTTTATCACTAAATGTCCCTACTAGCCACACCACCCCAAAAACATTAGCAAAGGAGATGAATGCTAAGTCCCAAATACCATAAACTTGCCCCTGGAATCTTCAATACATGCCACTGGATAGATCTATGCATGCAAAACTCCTTTACGTTGTTGATACATGCACCCTTGAGGCATGTTCAAGAAGACGGGGGGCAGCTGCCGCTGGGTGGCCACTATGTAGGGGTGGGGGTGGAGGGGAGCGTTTTCATAAATGCTAATTTTGCATTACAAATTAGAAACATGGCCAAACATAGCCAAAAATATATGATCGAACATAGCCAGAAATATATTTTAAATTTTTAAAATTGCATTATCAATCAGAAACAAATCCAAACATAGGGTAATATTTTCAAATTAGAAATTAGAAACAAAGCCATAGCCAAGAGTATATTATAAATTTTCAGTTTTGCATTATAAATTATAAACATAGGCAAACATTGAGTATATTTTCAAATTTGTATTATAAATTAGAAACAAAGCCAAACATAGCCAAAAATATACTATAAATTTTCAGTTTTGCATTATAAATTATAAACATAGGCAAACATCAAGTATATTTTCAAATTTGTATTATAAATTAGAAACAAAGCCAAACATAGCCAAACATAGCCAAAAATATATTATAACTTTTCAGTTTGCATTAAAAATTATAAACATAGCCAAACATAGAGTAATATTTTCAAATTTGCATTATAAATTAGAAACAAAGCCAAAAATATATTATAAATTTTCAAATTTACATTATAAATTATACATATAGCCAAACATAGTAAAAAATATATTATAATCACAAAAATAGCCTTTCAATTTTGCAACAAATTGAGAACTTTGTATTCGAATTCATCCATAAAAAAATTGAACTTAAACTAAACAAGTAGTTTTCAAGGCACAAGAGAGTTATCTAGGTTTTGGGGAGCCAAAATTCCCTCAAATACTATTTCCCCCATTTTAAAGGACGAAAAATTACATTTTTTAACCCTTTTGGCGAGGGAAAATTCTACGATCGCCAAAAGGGCTCTAGGTGGGTGCTGGGCGACTAGTCGGCCACCCCAGGTCATTACCCCGCACTGGGCCGCATATGTGCAGGTCATGGCAGTGAGGCCTGTGGCTGGGCAGGCGACTCTTTGAACCATGATTTGAGGAATGCGCCCCTACTTAAATAGTGGTCGCCAAGCCAAGGGGGAATTCTTAGGGCCCATGATAAGCATTCTCATCTTAGCCTCAATAGACCAAAAACATCCATATGACCTGATGAAGGCTTCAGTGCCTAGGAGAATGCTTCCCACCACTCTTCGACCCAAGCCACTCTGTGAATAACCATTGAAATTGTGCACAAAAAGACTTAGAGGCTTCATCCAAGTTAAAATGGGGGAATCTGAAAGAGGAGTAAAGACTACCATATTCCATCCTTTGATGAATTTGGCTACACCAAGGCTTTGAAAATCTAACAAAACCAATGCCCATGCATCATCATCATCATCATCATCATCATTCAAGCCTTATCCCAACTATTTAGGGTTGGTCACACGAATCACATTCCGTCATTCCACCCTATCAAGGGTCACACCCTCAGTTAGACCATAAGTCAACCATATCTTTTTTAGTATTTCCATCCATATCTTTTAGGGCCTTTCCCTTGCCCTTTTACAGCGCTTTCCATTTGAATCAAATCACCCCTCCTAACCGGTGTTGTTCTAGGTCGGCACTACATATGCCCAGACCACCTAAGTCTACTTTCCCTCATTTTGTTGTCTATTGGAATTACCCCTAAGTTCCCTCAAATGTATTCATTTCGAACCCTATTTTTCCTTGTTTTCTCACTCATCCATATCAACATCCTCATCTCAGATACACTCATTCTATGAATGTCGTTTCTTGATCACCCAACATTTTGTTCCATAAAGCATGGCTGTTCTTACAGCCATCCTATAGAACTTGCCCTTCAGTTTTATTGGTCTGAGACAATCACATAAAACTCCAGAATCACATCTCCACTTCATCCACCCAGCTCTAATTCTATTGGCAACATCTTCATCAAACCAATCATCATCATCATCATCATCATAGCCTTTTCCTAATTAATTGGGTCAGCTACACAAATCTTGGTCTGCTTTATTAAAGACCATACCCACAATGAGGCCATAAGTCCCCATATCTTTTTGGTACTTCTTGGAAGAGATTATTTTTTATACCTTGGGTCGATAATCCATGAGAAATTAGAGATTAAAGAAGATGTTGTTCATGGAATTAGAGCTGAATGGACATAGTGGAGATGTTGAATCAATGCCCCTACATACCATAACCAAATATTGAATCCTTCAATGGAATTAGGAGGAGTCCCCCACCCTGGACCCCTCTAAAGATGTGGATGTTGCATTACTTCCAACTGCCCTAAAGAATAGCAAGGGACTGCACCTTCCAAAGCGCATGGTCCCTTGGACATTGAGACACAGTTGGACAACACGAAGCAGAGAATCATCCACCACCAACCTTTTTTTATCAGGGAAGGCACGACTCAGTCAATGTCAAATATTTGCATCACATAAAGGACCAAGTAGGCTTAAAATAACTTAATTAGATAAACAGCAGATCCGTAGTCTTGGCCTCCCACTTTTTTTGAGAAAAAGGATTCACATGCAGCAGCTATGGTAGGGCATGCCAGGTATTGAAATTCAGAAATAATAATAATAATAAATAAATAAAACAAGCAAGCAAACAAACGAACAAACAGCAATTTTGTAACACAGACAAACAACTAGACTTTTAGAAAGGAAAACAAGGAGAAAACCAGAACCTGGTTGATTGCCACATTGTCATAGAAACAAACCAAACTGAAAACAAAAACAGCAAGAACCAGAAAACCAAAACTTACAGTGAAAGCTACCTAGTTACATATCTCATCAAAGTAATGGGGCAACACACGCGAGCAAAAGTTTTCTTCAACTCCTCTTTTTGGGAAATAAAAACCAGATGCAAACCGGAAAAACCAGGCCCTACACCTCTCGAGTTTCTCCCTCAATATTTAGGCTCTCCCTTTCTCAGTCTCTCATGCACACACCCCCAAAACCATGATGCTCTTTATCTCGCAATTTTCTCACACCCTAACCTCTCTTTTTTTGTCTTTCGGTCTCACATGATATTCAGAAGGGGATAGAGCCTCATGTGATAGGCATAACAGAATTGGATGCACGGGACAGTTGGTTCAAGGCCTTTAGACATGTTTTGGGTTACGGGTATAGAGGAGATCACTTTGCCTTCAAATAGGGTTCTGTGGGGTGAGAGAGAGGAATGCAACCTCTTCTGTCCATTCTTTAGATCAGCGATCATATGATCTGACATCACACCATTATTCCTAGTTGCCCTCATCACACACTTCTTCAACTTCAAGAAGAACTTGAATTCCAATCCAATTAAGATTCACTTAGTTTCCAAGGTTTCCTTCAAATCTAATCTTTCCATAATCTTTAATCTTCCTTATATTATATCAATACATGTCCAAAAAAAAGTTAATTTCAATTTATCTTTTGAATCCCTGAAGAGGAATCTTGAAAAGAAAATGTTTTCTATAAATCACGGCACGGCCCAATTCTTATTGAACTAGGACCTCAATGCCACATAGGAGGGCCCCGTACATTTCATAAGTGATGACAAGGATACAAGTGCCTAAACACCACCCTCATGTGACCAAACCATAATAATTCCATCAATTAAAAATTTTAAAATTTGCAGAGGACAAAACAATATTAATAATTCCAAAACAGTCCCCATGTGGAAATAAAAAAATAATTCAACATAGGATCCTCATCTATTTTTAGAGCACAAGAAGTAATAATTCAAGCTAAATATTGAGAAAAGCAATTCTTATTTGATCTCTTCAAAAAAAAATATGATGCTCCTCATTAAACTATACTAGAAATCTCGAAGGAGTGGCATATTAGACTCAGCAAACCTAAAAGGAGAAGCTTATTTGATCTCTTCAACCATGCAATCACATTCTACCCCTTAAAACTAACCCATCAGGACCTATAACTCATCGTCTATCTCATGGGGATTCATGACTGGTCTATTAGAGTTAGCAAATAAGTAAGATGGATTACAAGGCCGCTATAGATTACAGGTGTCCCCAAGGACAAGTTATGCATATCCTTCAAGGTGCAGGCCTCTCAACACATGATGACTCCCATGGTCGCCTCCCCAACGTGGCTACCGCTTGTGCATGCTGTAAGGGTGGTGCGTCAAGGATCTGACCCTCACCTTCACAAGGCTCTACACCCTTACACAGGAGTATCCTTTCTGCTAACTACCTCTGACCACTGGGCTTACTTCAACCTCAACAAGGGATGAGCCACAAACCCGCCTCAATTGGTGGCCTCATTTATCTAGCCACAGTCTAAGATTTTTCACTAAATCAGCCCTAGGCCTAAACCGCCAAACCTCCGGTGAGTCCTGCAGGCACTCATACTCCCTTGGTCCCACATGGACCACATTCCCACTAAACTGAAGTGCCTTTCTTTGTTTTATTACTACCATGAGTGTTTAAATGGGTTAAAACTTAAAACAAGAGCTAAGGCCTTTAAAGGCCGCAAAATCCCAACAACAAGGTTATTATCCAAGTGGACAAACCCATCATATGCATACCTTTGGTAGGAAAGGAGACTCTAGATGATGCTAGTTAGCGTTAGGGTCTTAGGGAAGGGATGATAATCAGTACCCACAAGAGCTCAACAGAAGGATCTCTTACAGAACCAACCCAACTCTCTCTAGTCCAAACATGTTATCCACACACATCCTCAAAATTTAAAACTTCCTCCAACACTCTAATCAATCCCAGTTACTCCTCTGCTTCCATGTCTTTGAGATTCTTTGGGAGTACATATAATAAAACACATAGGCTGCATCCCATTCTCCAGAAAATCAGTCACATGCATTGAGATCCACAACAGATTCGATGGTCACAACTCACACTACACATTAACTCAAAAAGCATAAACTGATACGACACTGATCTACCACCGCAAGTCTCATGACTTTATTAAACAATCCATATCAACCCCATAGCTCCCCTTGCAAATCCCCTAAACCCTCATTAATCTCCTTAGCAAACTGCTGCCCTACCTGATGTAGCCATATTCACCCCAGATAATATATATCCGAAGGCAATCACCCCCCCTCCTCTCCTTTCACACACGAGAAGTCTTTTTCCCAAGAGACCTATACTGCCAAACAGTGATCTCCTTCAATACCCTCACCCAAAAAAAAAAAAAACACATTCTTCATATAATAGAATTCTCATATGTTAAAGGCACACCAACAACCAACAACTAAACCCACACTTCCTATAAAACAAATGAGTTTTCCCTAAAATCTTAAAGCCTCAAAATAGCATGCATTATATATTGTTCACATAAAAAAGACAGAAACATGCATCATGCCGCAAGATTATACATAAGACAGCAACGCATATACGTTGTCAACTTTTGAAAAAAAAAGATTATACAAAGACTGTTGTTACAGCAGCTCATGAAAATCATGAGCATGCATTATGTCATGAGAGAGCTGCCAAACCTATCTTGTTACCTTCAGGACCCTGAGCTCTACTTTCGTGATCTCCCGGCCATTAATGTATACTTCAGTGTTTCCATTGCTTGCATCAGAACGAAGCTTGCCCCCAACATTCAGTTTAGAACTTATGATCCAATCAGGCTTCTCACCTTCCTGTTTTTCAACTAAAAGAAGTAAGAATAAGGAAAACACTAAGATATATTGACGCCCATTTCCAGGGATGCACTCTTAATATCATGTAATAAAAGTTCAGCAGAAAGTAAACATGCCCAAAAACCAACTTCATTGATCCAAAGCACACGGAATATGAGCTATTTAATCTTTTTGCTCACTTGTTAGATCGTTTGAAGGGGATATTGTAAGTTTGTATCAACAGATTTGTCACATCAAATTAGAGGCATCTACATCCCTACGATTGACCTCCCTATAGCATTAGTCACCTTTTTAAATATTAAATATAAAAGATAATTCAATGTAACTATTATACCTGGACCCTAGCGGAAAAAATTGACACATGGAATTGATCAGCTAGCCTAGTGTGAGCTTAATCAAAGGAGAAACAGTAAAAATGAACTGAGAAAAAAAAAATGAAGGGGAAGTGTGCCATGATTCGATGCACCATGGGAAAACCATAATCTCTTGTTCGAAATCATGAACGGTGATGTGAAGAGAGTAACACCCACCAGCACAGGACATTACTCAAGTGGTGCAACCCACCATCCATCCATCACTGAAGCATCACTTCAGTGAACGGTCATGAGCAAATAGGCCATGGTTTTTCCAAGTCGATAGGATTATATTATACTGCACCCAAAAATAAAGTACCAAATATAGGAAACTTTCACCTTTCCCCAGAGTCCCGAGTCCTTGTCATACCAGTACCTCCCAGGCTTCAACTTTGGTGGTGGCATCGGACATCCAAGAATTTCAGCTAATTCCTCTTGTCTAAGAGGCCTGCCATTCACAAAAAGCTGCTCAGGCCGGAGCTGATTTGCCAAGCACTCCTTCTCTGCCTTCATCATTTGCCTGACCTCTAATGGACTGCAAAGGTGACCTAACATCCTCGAGCACTTTCCAAGATTTGACCTCTTTGATTCATCAATGGGTTTCCCTATGCAGCTCACACACTTTCGCCCCTCAGGCATCGATCCCATGGCTTTAAGCACGCAGTTACTGCAATACTTTGAGTCACATACCAGACAAGATTCCCTCTCCTTGAACCTGTTTTTCTTTCCACATCGACTACACACCCCTCTCTTCCTGTCTTTCCTTGAATGTTTGCTATAATCAACCCCTCTTTCAATTGAAGGAGACCCGATACTGGACTTTTCGGATTCATCTAACGTGTTGAAGGTCACGACTGCTGTTCTCTTCGCTTCAATTTGGGGTTCATAGGGGCTTTCATGGTAGCTATGGGAAGAACCAGAAGCAGAAGGGGAAGGAAGACTGGTTAATACGCTGGGGCTAAACGATTCTTCTTCAACTGATTCATGGTCAGTGTGAGATTTAACTGCTAAATTTGAAATGGATGGTCTCACTGGTAGAGAGATCGGTTCGACAATGGCCACAGGTGAGGATTCGGCTAATGAAGCAGGAGGAATAGTTGCAGAGCTCATGTCTAATGGTTCAACCTTTGGGGGGTCATAGGGAACAGGAGGACCCTGATACTCCATGGCTATGGAGTAATCCAACCGTTCATGATCTGGTAATGAAGCACCATGGGGGAGCATTTTTTTCAGGAACCCTTCCCATGTCTTCTCATCTTTCTCCTCAGCCATTACTGAAACCTACGGTTTCAACAACCCGTAGTTCCTGCAAATGTGGGTTTTTTAACTGATCTAGGGTTTCTATAATTTGGTGATCAAACAATCAGGGAAAAGAATTGGACTAAATGATCACCAGGGAATGGTTGGTAGTTTCAAGACAAATGGCCATGTTCCACTTTACTGCAAGCTACGGTTCTTGGCAATCTATGTTCTCCAAAAGTTACTCATCCTGTTACTTAGAACTTCTGTAAACACTTAAAATGAAGGTTCAGACCAAAAGGACCCGCCTTTAGTGTAATGTAGGTATAAAAATATACTTTCCTATATATGAGAATTGAGTAAACCTAGGGTCTGTGATATAACATCCATATAAGCAAACTGAGCTGAAAATATATTTGATGAGAATTAAGGTTCAGAATCGCGATGTCATTAACCTCTAGGATCTCTGTAACTTAACAAAGGACATAGCTACAGAACATAAACAGATAATAAAAATCAAGAGAACAAATCAAGTTTTTAGAGGCACAGTGACAATTTCTTTTCATAGTAGAGCCAATAAATAAAAAAGAGGGATTAATAGAAATTTACGCAAATAGGGAGGACACATCAATTTGAATCTCAAAGGATGAATCAAACTTATTGAAGTGAACCAGTGCTTCAGTAATAAAGCTACTGAAACAAAAAAAAGAACAACCTGAATGAAAAAGATCACAAATTGGAAGCAGAAACTACGAATTTATAGTCAAAAAATGGAAGTTGGAGTTCACGAAGTTGATCCCAAAGCAGATCAGTAAACCAAAAGGATCTACTGAAAGCAAACTACAGTCTTAGAAACAGATGCACCAGCACGAGAGAGCTCATATTACAAACCTAGGGTTTCAGAATAAACTATACGTCGAATCTGAAACAAAGAGATACGATTTCAGAATGGGAGAAAAAGAAGACTAGATGCATAAAATGGAGCGATTGTACCAGGTTATAGCGTCCGTTATTAGAGAAAATTGGACCTTTATAAACCAAGCAAGCAACAACTTACAGACACCGACTCTAGGGTTTCACAGGCAATACCAAAACATCCAATCTGAAACAAACGTTGCAGGAACCTAGGGTTTCAGAGCGTTAGGTAAGGTCTCGGAAACAGAGACGGAAACGGAAGACGAAGATAGGAGGCATAAATTGGAGAGAGTGTACCCGGGTTTATTGTTGCCAGTCAATGACTCTGAGCTCAGAGGGGGGCCCATCCGCCATTAAAGCTCTCTGCAACTCTCTTGTCGGGTTTCAGAGAGAGATTGTCGGTTTAGAGAGAGAAGAGAGTTACGAGTAGAGAGAGATTAGAGAGACAATAAAGTGTCGGATTCGTAGAGAGAGAAACAGAGAGCAGTTAGCCAGACAGCGGATAAAAGTGTAGAGAGAGAAAGAGAAAGCAGCGCGGATAGAGAGAGAAAGTTCAGAGATGGGTAGAGAGAGAATAAAACGAGTACAGAGAGAGAGCGAATCGGACACGGTGATTGAACCATTGACAAGGTATATAAGGCTACCGCCGGCTAGTGTCCGGATGCCGTTAACTTGACGGCGTGAGTGGAAAGAGAGAGAAAAGGGCTTGCGTTGACGTAACGTGCAGTTTGGTAGCATGACGGCTTGCCGTTAAAGTCCAAATGACCTTAACTAAACTCCGTATCCCAATATAGTCCCTTACTGAGTGAGATGCTGGAAATAACTATCATGTCCCTGTCGATGGGGCCCACAGGGGATGCGTGATTCCCCTGCCCAAGCAGTGGTGCGCCCAGTTGTGTGGGGACAGGATTGGAATTTGTCCACGTGGAAATTCCTTGGCGGCAAGATATTCATTTGGCTGATGTAGTAAACAGTAGAGCACCGTCTGGCCCGCCCTGGCTTGATCGGCCCAATAAGCCCTGGCCTTGGCTTATCCGGGTGTTTTGGATTAGATAATAAACAAAAAAGAGTAAAGAAACAATAGCATTGGCTCGGGCCGAACCCGAGCTGGCTCTGGCCTTGGCCTCGGGCCTAGCCCTGCCTGGTCCAGGGCATATTTTGTGTCTCACACCCTAATTTTTTATAGGCAAGCTGAACTATATATATAT